TAGGCACAGCTTTTTGCGTTGGCGATTCGGAACCTAGCCGGATTTCCAAGCCGCCGGTCGACTTACCGGTAGGCCGACTTTTATAAACCGACCTCGGTCCAGTTCCTCCATTTAGAGAGAAGGCTTCGGCATTCGCAACTGCGACAGCGCATTTTCTCTCCTAACGGACGGATGCGAGTCGGAAGTAAGTGCTTAACCGTGCTTATCCGGCTTCAGTGAATTTAACCGGTTACGACGGGTAACTCGGGAATCGACGCCCCGGACCCAGCTTACGGGATGAGATTGGACAGGAGACCCCGTGGAGACTCAAGCACCCCGTGGACGTCATCCTAGTCGGAATAGGACCCCCGGACAGATTTTTGCATTTTTTAGCATTTTTCTTAACAAACGGAATTGTTTTTTTCTTGTTCGATCTCTTTAACAGATCTGTTTTTGTAACCCTTTTTGCTCACCGGAATTGTGATTAAACTTTCCTTCATATTTTTCTTTCGCGCTGCATAACTTTCATTATATTTTCTTTTCAAATTGTTCTCCGATGCCAACAGAAGCAAGAAGCCAGCCAACAGATGCATCACCGGTTCAACGAAACGCCCGATCGACTTCCGAATTTCCCGGCCGTGAGTTGCTTGTTCATGGGTTCGGAAGTGAAGTATGGGACGGTCGACCAGACACCGGACTCCCGCTGCCTGAGGACGCGTACCGGCGACCCCACATGGTTCCAACCGGAGAGTTGTGCGGTACTGGTGCGGTACCGAGTCTGAGCATCCTTCGCAGGGGCTCGGATTCCCGCCCAGAGGCATGTCAGGCATATGAGCCTGCGCGTGGTGCTCCGTCCACACAGACCGTACTTGCACTCACTAGCATGCTGCATCGCCTCTCTCTCTCTCTGTAGGTACGTGTGCTGCTGCACTGCACTCATCCGCTGAAGCGGATATACGCAGCGCATACATGTACACTGAGCGGCACTGCTCTCTCGTCCTCTCTCGCAGCACCAATCAGCGTGCATACTCTCGCGTTGGATCGAGTCCAGTGAGTGCACAATAATACTGTGCAGAAGTGGCGTCTTACTTGTTTATTCGTGATTTGGCCATTACCATCTGTGGATCCAGTTGTTAAGTGACACCAACAGAAGACGCGTGTGGTGGTTATGCCACAGGCTGTTTTAATCTTTGAAAATTCATAACTTTGTTCATTGCATTAAATTTTTATGTATAATCTTGAAAAATGCAGAATAATACACAGCATTAGACAAAATAAATGATTCTCTGTTTCTTCTTCAGGGTAATGCACTAGGAGCCCCCGCGGTTAACATAGCCGCCTATGACAAATCCTCCATAGGCGGTTATGCTAGCCGTACAGGCTAACAGTGCATAACCCTGAAAGAAAAACAAAAAAGAATTTATTTTGCCTAATACTGTGTATTATTCTGCATTTTTCAAGACTATACATAAAAATTTAATGCAGGAATGAACAAAGTTATGAATTTTCAAAGATTTACGTTAAAACAGCCTGTGGCATGGGCCACCGCACGCGTGCTTCTGTTACGTTGTCACTTAACAACTGAAGGGTCCACAGATGGTGCAATGGCTGTAAAATCACGAATAAAATCAAGTGAGACGCCACTTCTGCACAGTATTATTGTGCACTCGTCCAGTCTGCGCATCACACAGCTGATATGTCTGGACCGCATAACGCACGTGCTTGTCGCCAGCAAAGTGGATATTATTCACTTTGCAGCTGTTTACGATTCAAATGTTTGCAGTGGCTGTCAACCTGTCACAACAATCGTTTCTGATCTAGAAGTATTTTTCGGTTTTGCTAATTGCTGTCTACTTGCTTTTCCTTCTAAATCGCTTATTAGCTAACTCTTTACATTTCTGCTGCTTTTCTGTGACACAAAATGGTGAACGAAGGAGGATCCGACTCAAACATTGTAGTCACCATCAACGGCAAAAAATATGCAGGTAAGCCCGTTTTAACTTTACAAACTTCGACACGCAGGCATGGGTGAAAATAAAAGAAATGCTTTTTCATGTATTTCGTTGGATCCTACGAGTAAATGACAGTTCTTACGCCTCGCAAAATCTTCTTTGGAAGCAACATCTGGCTTTGACTTGCATGCGGCGTAGTAAAACTTAGGCGTGTTCCTCTTCCAGTGCCGCCGGAATTCTCCGCAACATCTCTGAATGATTTTCTGCGTGTCCATCTCCAACTTACTGGGACGAAAGTGATGTGCCGAGAGGGCGGATGTGGTATGTTTGGAGTTAATCCTTTGCGTTTTCGCATTGTTATTTTGATTTTCTTGCATTAGCCGTTTTGACAGCCGGTTGACTATTTAAATGCGTGAAAACAGAAGCACTTTTTGGTAGCATATTTTTGAGTTTGCATGGAATTTTTTATTTAGGTGTATGTATTGTACACGCTGCAGTACCTACCGGAAACGGAAAATTCCAAGAACGCTCCATCAATTCTGTAGGTGTTAACTGCGTATTTGCATAACCGGTTTTTGCACTTAGTACTTATAATACGCTTTTTGGTACGGTAGTGCCTGTGTCCGATTCTTTCCTGTGATGGGTGGGAAATAACAACGGTGGAAGGCTTGGGTGACCAGAAGAATCCCCATCCCATCCAAAAGCAGCTAACCGAACATTCGGGATCACAATGCGGATACTGTACTCCCGGAATGGTTATGACTATGTACAGGTAAATAAGTGGAGAAGAATTGGTTGTTTTTTGTTGTTGTTTGTACAGATAAACAAGTGGAGAAGCATGGGTGAATTGGTCAACAACACTACTGCAGTTTACAGTAGCGTTGTTGACCTACCGTGAATGTATGAAGCTTCAAATTTATTAAAAGTACCGCATTTCTGGTAAATAAGCAAGTATGTGGCGATGCGCTCAGAGCACTTGTTTCATTCTTTATTATTAATGCGATGAGAAAAAGGTACAAAGGGTTGGATCACAGCAGTCAGTATTTGAAAAATTGTGCTTGCGTTTGGAAGATGGCAACAGAATCTGAAATCGTAGCAGCTACTTTAATTAAAAATATTGTATTCGGCAATAATCGCAGATTGGATTATATTTCTCAGAATTGCACTACATATGGGATATGAATATGCTAAATTGCATCTGTTACAGTACTATCCGAAAGGAAGGCAAATCGTTAACCGCTATTCAAGCGGAAAGCGCACTTGATGGGAACATTTGTCGTTGTACGGGTAAGTGTGCATTAGTTTTTGCTGGTGCTGTTTGACAGTGAAAACAGTTAATGCAAACTAACGCCGTGTTCTGTAGGATATCGACCGATTTTGGATGCTTTCAAAGAGTTCACGAATGAATCGGCGTCGCCGGTGTGCGATATCGAGGTATTGCTATAGATCCTCTTATTAGACGTTACATTTTTCATACAAATTAATAAACTGAATAGGACGTCTCTAAGCGGATATGTTCGAAAACGGGAAAACAGTGTAATGGAGTGTGCGATGATAACGGATCCAATTATTTTCGTCCTCTGGTCGAAGTTGCACGTGCTGCCGCTCCGCCATGGTACAGACCTACGTCGCTGGCGGACCTGTACAAACTGCTGGAAAATTCTACGCTGAAGAATCCATATTATGTTTGCGGCCATACCGGCATCGGAGTGTATGATGATGGTCCGTACGATGGTTTTATCAGTCTGCGTGGAATTCGCGAAATGTTTGTGACTGATAAGAAAGACGGTGTCATTACCATTGGTACGAGTTGTCCCAAGCTTAATTATCATAAGAATGTACTGTTGTAATCAATATGCCTATCAATCGTGCAATAGGTAGCGGTGTCTCCTTAACGGATATGATTGACTTTTTCAAGTCAGAAGCCGAAACAGATCCCGGTTTTGCACATCTGGAACATTTTGCTCGTTTGATTAGCAAAACTGCCCATCCTGCGGTCCGAAATGTAAGTAAATTATGTAAAAATATTCTCAGTTTCCATAAATTTACACTGTTCCGGCTTTCATATATAAATACCTTTTTTATCTAGCTTTTGCCGGACAACGACACGAAAAAATAAATTAATCGTCGATGTTGTATACTTGGAATCCGCTAGCAAACCGATCACTTCTGCTTACCGATCAATACAGAGATCACCCAAATTTTCATCTGCTACTCGTACTCGTAGAGATCAGGTTAAATCTCTGCATTTCCCAGTTCAACTGAATCAGTTGAACTGGGACTCTGGGAGTGCAGTAAAGTAAAGAAAGTGATAATAGTGCAGTATAAGAGACAAAGATACCGGTTTTTGGTTTCCGCAACTCTTCAGAGTTTTTTAAATCCCGTTTTTTGTGCAGGAAAAATACCACTATCAATTATGAAATCCAGAATAATACTTTTAGGGAATTTAAAAATGTGGGTGATCGCTGTGGCGACCCCTGAAGTAACAGTGGTCGGTTTGCGAGCGGTGGCGAAGAAGTACAATAATTTTTTGCATCAGTTTACTGATATACAATGTTAACAAAAAGCAAACATCGTTGTAAATTTCTGAGTAGGCTGGTTCTTGGGGTGGAAACTTGGCCATGCGAAATCGGCACAAGGAATTTCCGTCGGATACTTTCATCGCGCTGGTCATGTGTGGCGCGTCCGTGTTTGTCGGTAAGTTTGTTAAGCTGGCATTTGACATACCGAACAAAATAATTAAGCGAGTTGTTTTATAGGCCCGGATGAAAAATCTTATACCCCCGAAGAATTTGTGAATTTGGATTTGAAAAATAAAATTGTGACAAAGCTGACTTTGAAGCCGTTCGATAAATCCCACGTTTTTCGCACTTTCAAGATTATGCCGCGATCCGCTGTAAAACGATAAAACAAAGCTCATAAAATGTATTAAAAATAAAACATGTTTGTGTTATTACAGAATTCTCATGCCTACGTTAACGCCGGATTTCGCGCAAAAATTTTGAAAGAAGGAAATCAGCTTGTGATTGTCGATAGGCCGGTTTTGGCTTATGGAAATATAGCAGAAGAATTCGTAATTACCTAATTCATAAGTTTGATAGTTGTTTATGACATTTTCCGTGTTTAGACAAATCTCTGAATTGTAGATCCGTGCCAGTAACACGGAAGAGTTTCTTATTGGGAAGAATCTGGCTGACAACGACACATTTCAAAGGGCACTGACAACCTTGGCGCAGGAAATTCAACCTGCGGAAGATAAATCGGAAGCGAGTCCTGCTTACAAGCGTGCTTTGGCCGTTAATTTGTTCTATAAGGTACGAGTTTGTATTATATATGCTTGTTCCTGTACTGGATTTCGTACGTATTACGGAGAACGTAGTTATCTGGAATAATTGTGACTTTTAATTTTTATATCATTTGTTTCGTACGATAACATATCATTGTAAGTTATTCGGTCGATGTGGCACGACAGTAATATTCACGTTTATTATTGCAATTACCACAAGTATTTTAGCTTGTTTAAAATATCTGACAGAAGATAAACACTGCCGATAACAAAGGTGGCAATCGTTGAAACTAAAAACATGCCGTGGTTTTTGTGACTCCATTAAATTCCGGGCTGAGCAAGTTCGAAATTGGTAGCAGTTTATCATCCATGGCAGCAAGTCTGACGGAACCATCCACAACAGCTGTAACCAAAACCAAAGCGTTTAGGCCGGTCTAGAGCCATATTAGCGAGGTCCGGATTCTGGTCCAGATTGTAAAAGGGGTAGAAGTCCATTTGGGCGTAGCTGTAAGCGGCCATCATCAGCACGCCCAGCAGGATAGCGAATACGTTTCTGGCTAGCATCCTATCGGTTGCGCAGAGAAAGGAGAGGTATTGCAAAAATTAATTGAAATATTGCAACAGCAAAGCCTTAGTGAGTAGACTCGGGTAGCTTGAGGAAATTGTACCACAGTCAGAATCAAATTTGAAATTTGATCTGAAAACGCGTTTTAAAAATTAAATACATAGCGGATGTCTGAAGGAGGAAACCATGGTAATTGCACATGTTGCCAAGCGTTCTACGGCGTTTTACTTCGCCGTACTGCAGAAGTATAATTTCTACCCATTTACTGTAACAGGTGGGTATTTTAATAATATCATAATTCAACATCTTTTACTCATACAGTACAGAGTATTGTGTATGTAATTTTAATCTAAAATTATACATGAAAATGTTCAAACCAACATAAGCGAAAACAACTGACGATTAAGATGATTTTACGACATTCGCGAACCTAGCAAACACAGAGACCGACAGAAAAAACTACAGAAACAAGCAGCCAGAATCCACAGGTGCCACACCAACGAGCTCGCTGGTTAAGGGCCAAACGCAGAGCGTTGTAAGGGTAAGCCCCCAGATTGATTCGGGCGTAACAACAGAAAAATCCGACCGCAAACATCCGCGCTTCCTCCATCCGTCTCCCGAGCCTGGGAGATCCACGTTCGTTCCACGATACCCCAACAACATGAACAATGAAATGAAACGATCCAACGCGCAATGAGAGTTCCAGAAGTCAACAAGGCTCCACAGCACAGATCCACGTTCTTCGGCCGCATTTACCATAAAAGCAGGATTTAAAGGTTGACCGGATGCCGCGCTGATGAGATCACTGGTTAAAAGGGCCAAACGCGAAGCGTTATAAGGGCAAGCCCCCAGATCACTCGGAGCACAACATTCAGACGCCCCAGAATGTCCCCCCTCACGGCGCATGCAGTCGCTCCCGCAGCACAGGCTCCAGCGTCCTGACGACTCCATTAGATAGGCAAGAATGGGTTCCGACGTATGACTCGAGCAGTATTGATCCACCTACTTGCATTTTATTCAGGAAGTGTAATATCATCCTTTTTTCATACGTCCGTAACTGAGACAGGTTTTGTTGAGTTAAAGTATGTTAAACGAAACTCAAAAGCGGTTGAAGTACGTAGCCTATCACTATCAGACGATTAATACGGGTAGGTATTTAAGATTTAAGAAGTAGACTGAGCGAAAAGAATAAGGCAGCTAACGAGACCCACTTTCTGACTCGCTTGCTTTGTATAATGTGAAACTAGTTTTGTAAA